GATCCTTGGGTTGGGAAGATCCCCTAGAGTAGAAATGTCAATCCACTCCAGTATTCTGCCGTGAAAAATCCCATGGACAGCCTGGTGGGCTAAAGTCCAAAGGGTCGTAAAGAGTCAGACATGACTGAGTGACTAAGCAGAAGTACTTTAATATATTCATTCATTTAATTCTCACAACGTCCCAAGGAGACGCCTCTGAGGAGAAGGGTATTACTACTATCCCCTCTAGGCTGTCTCCTCCATGAGTCTGAGTTCTTAGGGACAGTGAATGCTCTGTTTATCTCTGAATTCCTCAGGACCTAACACAGTGCTTGGCAAAGCAAGGGCCTCAGTTAAGTGTGGAATGGGTCATTTGTATGAACTATCTATTTTTTGAAAGTCAGTGGATTCCCTTGCATTCAAAGGAAGCAACAGGAATATTGGATGCTACCCCAAAGCCTCCCAGAGCAACCAAATCCCAGGCATCCCCTCCATTGCAGGAACCGCCTAACCCAAAGCCCTGCAGTCTACCGCCTCTTAAAACCTCAGCACAGAAATCTTCAGAGGATAGTGGTGTGTAGAGATAATGATGTGTGTAGGTCTTGGGACGGACCCCATTTTGACATTTATTTTCACGAACGACAATGCTCACGAGGCTCTTTATAGCCCCTCTGGCTGATCCAACGTATTAGTTCTCTTTGTTGTTCCCTTATTAACAGTGAACAGAAACATAAGACCGAAAACTGCCTGTACATCCTTGTGAGCAAGAAATCGTCCCATATAATGGATATGAGACCCATCCCTGGGACCGTGCCTTCCAGATTACCTGAAGACCATCAAGTATTTGTATCTGTCTACCTATACCTCTGTCTAGTCATCTACCTATCTCCATCTACCTCTTATACACATCCCATGATCCCGACGGAAACAAAGTTGTTTGTAATAAAGACAGAGTGAAGTTTCCAAGCCAAAGATAGATCCTGCACTCCTGAGATTTTTCCTGTTCAGGGGCAGAGCAGAGTGTCCTGGGAGAGAGGAAGACTTAGTGGACCAGCTTGAATGGAACCTGCTCTCAGAGCCCTGGTCCTGAGACCCCAGAAGTGACAAAGTACAATAGAAGCTGGTGCTGAGGCCATTACCCTAGAGGTTGTTCCTTCCCAAGCCCAGGCTTCTGGCTAGAGTATGGCAGGAATCACACCCCACTGGAAGGAAGCACAGAGGATGCTCTGCCTTTCAGGTGTAGAGGAAGGGCCCAGGGGCACAGGCTAGGAGTGGGAAAGGGTTGGGGGGCACTTGGCCTGAGCCAGGTTTTCCCAGGCTGGGGTTCAGCGCGTGCATTTCCTTGCTCTGTACCTGGTAGGAATCCTTGTCACCTCCAAAGCTTGGGCCGCCTTTGCTGCAGTCACCCATGATGTGGGTTTGTTCAGTACCTTGAGAATTTTCGGCAGATGGGAAGCCCTGAGGGGTGTATCTCAGTGAGTCTGTGAGTTCCCCTGGGCTGTCCCCTCCTCTCCCTGCCTGCCAGTGCTGGGTTTCTCCTTTTCTTTTCAAGTAGATTCCCGGTCACCCCTCCCCTCTCTCCTTCCTTCCTTTTCTTTTAAAATAGTATTTACTGACTCGAGGGGGAGGGGCTTCTGCGCTGCTGGTAATGGTCTGTTTTTTGAGGAGGTGCTGGCTATATGGTATGCCCCGTTTGTGAACAGTCGCCATGCTGTCCATTCAATAGTCCCTTTTCTGTGTGTGTGTGTGTTGTATGCCAATGAAAGTTCAAAAAGTAATATTTACCTAAAATTATTTTTACTTGAAAATGTCTCAAATTTAAGCAACTTCCCCTATTTTCTTAAATGTTTTTTTGTTTGTTTGTTTCTTCCCCCCACCCCGTATTCTCATAGACTCTTATCTTCAGCTGAATCTTGATATTTCAGTTGGAGGCCAGTGCTGAACCGTCATGTCTGCCCCTCACAAGCAGTGACCTCTGCCCAAATGCTCCATCTTTGTATAGGAGGGCCATCAGGCTGGGCAGAATGCCATAAAGGAAGCATACTTTCATGTGGACTAATTTGGAAGAAAAGGGGTCTCTGATCCAAGCTGCTGTGTGGAATTCTACTTAAATCTTCATTGACTTGTGCATTCATTACCATTTATTCATGAGTTCATCTAACATTTATTATCGAATACCATCTGGGTACTGGACGTGGATCCTTGTCCGCAAGGTGCTTGCAGCCTATCAAGCAGAGAAGATGTCTGCTTGTGCCCATCACAGCAGGGACATGACTTGGACCCTCAGTCACACAGGGAAAGAATGGGAGTTCAGAGCGCGAGGCAGTCTTTTCCAACCGAGCCTTCCAGAAGGATGGCCTCAATCGGGGTGGCAGGTAGAACAGGTAGGGCTCACAGGCAAAGATGGGGGAAAGAGCAGTCTAGCAGAAGGAATAATATATAGCAGTTAAAGCCCAGAAGAGTGAAATTTCCTTAAGTAGTCCGGAAAGGGAGAAGAGGCCGAGAGAGGGTGGGAGGTGACCAAGTCATGGTATTCCTGCCGGGACACTGGCAAGAAGCATTCTGGAGGAGTGCTTGAGCCTCTGGGAAGAGCCAAACTGAACAGGGTGGGTGGGAGTAGGGGCAGGATTAGAGTACAACTTTAGGACCCCCTAGGCTTTCTTATTTTGATTGACAGCTTTATTAAAGGTTACTTTGCAAACCACCCTGCTCAGGTGTAACCTTTCACATGGTTCTCTAAGGCAAATGCAACAGTCTTGATGTATTCACTAAGGTATGCTGTGTCCTAATTAACACAGGGAAGCCTGGAGTGCTGCAGTCCGTGGGCTCGCAAAGTCAGACACAACTGAGCAACGGAACTGAAATGAAGTGTCCTAATTGCTGTAGCAAAATCTCAGTGGTTTCTCTCTTTCTCACGTCATAGCCCCAAGCTGGTTGGGTGGGGGAGGTGACATTCTAAGCATTCATTTAGGACACAGCTACTCCTAATTAGTGTTTCTGCTTTCCTCTTGGGTCTTGAGTCCTCCATTGGGTCTGAGAAGGGCTCACATCTCATGTGCCCATATTTCGTTAGGCAGAAGTCTGTCACATGACCCACCTCACACCAAGAGTGGCTGGGAAATATAGCCTATCCTTGTGCCCGGGGAGGTTGGGGATGGGGTGGGAGAAGTTTGGCCAAGACAACATTACATTTGCAATGACATATTAGAGAGGATAGGATTTGATGAGTATGATAAAAAACTGGCAGCAGTTACACAGAAGAGAAAAGAGAAAGATGAATAGATTGCTAAAGGAATTATATTAGCTGACTTTGTCATTGTTGAGGACAACCAAAAAATTCACGTTTGAAGTATTTTGTCCATTTATCCTACTACCCCATCACTGTTAAAGCTTATTTCTCATAATAAAAGTTTATTTGTATAAACTTCAGAAGGAAAATTATTTTTTAATAAAAGTTTATATGTATCATTAACAGGGTAGGGGATTGGTGGAAGGTCTGGGTCATGTAGTGATTTGAAGAGCAGGCTGACAGAGGCTCTGCCATTTCCAACACGGGGCTTTTAGGTGGCCTCAGGCATCAACATCCAGCCAGGAGATGAGTGCATCAGATGGTGTAGGACATATGTGTGGGTTGGACTTGAAAGTGGTAAAGGTCATTTCCATCTACATTTCTTTGATCAGAACTCAGTCATGTAACCACACCTAGTGCAAGGGTCTGAGAAAGACAGGCTCTGTAGCAACTGAGCAGCTCTCTCCTATGTGGTGTAAGGAGAATCATCAGTCTGGTGAGCGAGTTGTCTCTGCCACAGTTGGGGCTACCAACTTCTCTTTAAACTTGCATAGAGCACCCTGGGTCTGCCAAAAGGAGATGTACTAGGGATGCTGGTTTTAAGAAGCAACGGAGACCTTGCATAAATGCAGTGGTTCTAAAAGACCGAAATGCTTTGTTGTTGTTGGACTGACAATATAAGTTTATTGAATTGATACTATGAATTCCAAACAGGGGGATAGATAAAGTCAACTGTTATGTGGTGCAAAAGTCCAAAGAAGGTAAAATGCAAAATCAGATATGATCATCATTAGGGCTGGTGACAAACAGTCCAGCCGGATGGTAAGATGATACTCTCCACCCACTTTGAAGTTAGGATAATCACTGATTTGCTTTGACCAATGAAATGTGGGCAAGAGTGTGTCATAAGTTACCATATTTCCTTCCTTGTGCTGTGGAGAACTTGGAAGGACATGTTGAGATGAAACCTTGTCAACTCGGCCCCTGAAAGACTGAGATGAGCAGAACTCCCCTGGTTACTTGTGATGAGCGTGTGTATGGTGGGTCAAGCTGCTGAAATCTTGAAGTGATTTGTAACTGCAGTCAAACCCGGTAGGTTCTGACTATTACATCAGGTAAAGGTTCTTCTTGAAAAAAGTAGGCTGACATAAGATTTCGAATCAGATTTTAAAAGTTAAACTTTACTTTATGGGATTGGAAATCTAAAGTTGCTTTGGGTGGAAGATTTTGCTGATATCAACTTTAAGTGACATAAATCAATCGTATTTTTTTCATTAAAATACAATATTCAATTTGAAAATGCTTCAAAAGTGATGTTATAAAATTCATTATTATATAAAATATCAAAGAGCAAACATTTTGTCTAATGTTTAAGGTACACAGTTATAGATAGATACTTGCTAATTTCTTTTTCCAGCTGTTTTAAAGTAAGATAATTATCAGGGTTTAGATGTAGATTTTAGTAAAAGATCACACGTAATTCTTTTCTGTCTTTTTTCATGCTACTGTTCCTCTTTCCCCTCAGAGATTTTGTGTGGCTTTTCTTAGAACCTCCTCCTTTTCAATGGTAATTGAAATAACTAGAATTAATACCAAAAGATCTTTTTCTTCTTTTGCTTCCTCAGTTCTGCTTTGAAAATTCTATGATTACCATATTTAAATTGCCATATCAGTCTATTTGCCACCAATGCCAAGATTTACCATGGATGCCTTATATCCTCTGCCCCAACATGCCTCATGATGAACAAAGATGATGATGATACTAAGCTGTGTGCATCCACCTCAGTGTGAGACAGTAGGTCATGAGGCTTTCCTATCTCACAGGACAGCAGGAAGTTCAGTGTTTGGTAGGAAACAGGAGGGGCTATGCTAGTGTTTCCCAAAGGTCAGACAACATCAGAACTCTCTGGGAGACTTGTTCAAAATATGGATGCTTAGCTTCACTCCAGTCTCTCTGAATCAAAACATCCAGAAAAAGAAACTGGGAATCTACATTTTAAACTGTCTCCAGTTTGATGCTGGTGAACAGATGAGTTCATCTCAGCAAAGGCCATAGAGGCTCCCAGAGGCCAGCACACGGGACAACCGGCCCTCCCTTCCCTTCCTCCAAGAAAATGTATAGAACATGCCCCAGAGCCATCCTGCTGATAGGAGAGGAAGTTGATTATTTATCCCTCATTGGTTGAGGGTTACTCCTGGCCACGTAAGTTCTTTGGCATTTCAGGCCTGTACTGTTTGGGGTGAGCATGCTCTGGGGCAGAAAGACACAGGTGCCTTTGGTTGGAAGCTGTTGGTGTGTGTGTGTAGGAACTATTTCCTGAAGAGCTCGGGGGTGGGCAAGAGTAAATGACTGGGTCATTGACAGTGTCTGCTATATCTAAGTTAAATCTCATCTTTTATTGTCACTGTTTTTGCTCTTTTTTTTGGCAAAAAGTTACCTCTTGTTCTGGGCTTATGTTACCAGCTGGAACTGTCTATTTTGATCCCAACTGTATGATCAGTGGTAGCCTGTGATACATTTTGAAAGCCCTGCCTTACAAATGAATTGCTAAGACATCTGTTCATCTTATGTTTCAGAAAAAAATGGTTTCAAAAATATCTGACCTATGAGTGATGTAAAGTCTACATATAGGATGAAGCAGAGACAGGACATTTGATGGCCAAGTCAGACCTTGTGATTAGAACCTGTCACTAGTGACCAGTGGTGGTCCAGTCAAATCTAGCACGATATGCTTATATACAACATGACAGGCCATCATGCTAATAAAATGGAAATGAACTGAAAGGTAGTTGACTCATTTAAGTAAACATTTAATGAGTCCTTGTTGTGGCTTATAATAAAGGGCACACTGAAGGTGACTTTAGAATCATAGAATTTTAGAGCTGCTGGGAATTATGCAACATGTACTGGAAGTCTGTTTCCTATATGGGACTGGGAACATGGGCTTAGGAACCAGACTGCTTGGACCTAAATCCCAGCTCCAATGCTTGTAAGCCTACCTTGGGCAATTTACCTCATATTTTTTGAGTCTCAGTTTATTCTATATAGTTGTTGTTTAGTTGCTAAGTTGTATCTGACTCTTTTGCCACCCCATGGACTGTAGCCTGCCAGGCTGGTCTGTCCATGAGATCTTCCAGGCAAGACTACTGGAGTGGGTAGGCATTTCATTTTCCAGGGGATCTTCCTGACTTGGGGATGAAACCCGCATCTCCTGCATTGGCAGGCAGATTCTTTACCACTGAGCCACGTGGGAAACCCTCCATATATTAGTACCTACCTCATAAAATTTTAAGGTTTAAGTGAGTGAATGAATATATGTAAAGCTCATAAAACAGTGCCTGGAACATGGTAAGCAGTAAGTAAATTTTAGCCTTTAACTAGTTCTATCCTATTTTACAGATGAAGGAAATCCAGCCCAGAGATGCCTAATGACCTTCCCAAAGAGTTGAGACTGGAATTCATGTCTCCTCATCTCCAGAGCAATTTGTTTTCAGTACAAGTTGTAGAATGATGGCAAACAAGCTCTAAAGGTGAGATCTTTATTATTATTTGAAAGATAAGGTGGATAACATTTTGAGAGCAATTTAAGAAATCATAAATCTAGAAGCAATCATAAATCTATGCATCTATAACATAGTACATCCTATCTGTGAACATTAAATGTAGAAAGAATGAAAAGTGATGCATGGGGATTATCATGGCATCAAATTATAATAGAAGCTTCCTGAAAGAGAAGAGCCTGAGCCTAGTGCCTTTAGGAAGCATTGCATTTTGTTGAGAAGATGAACTGGGACGAAGTCTTTCCCAGTGGGAAAAGGGCAGCAATGACCTGGCATGTGTGAAGCAGCAGCTCGTGAGCAGGTGAGTTGTGTCGTAGGGAACTGAGCTTCATACTGGTGGCTTGCAAGTAGGGTTCAGGTATATGTTCTGTTTGGCCTATGGAGTTTGACAAAAATTTGAGTTGGTCACTTTATCTGTCAAGGTTCTACAGAGAAACAGAACCAAGGATTTGTATATAATATAGATTCTACTTCACTTCTAGTGATCGGTCTTTTCAAGTTATTTCTTCTTGATTCAGTTTTGGGGGGGGGCGCTGTATACTTAGAGAAAGTTGTCCATTTCTTCTAGGCTGCTGAATTTGTTGGCATATAATTGTTCATAGTGTTCTCTTATGGCTTCTTATATTTCTTCAGTTTCAGTTGATATTTCTCCTTTTTCATTTATTTTGTTTATTTAAGAATATGTATATATGTGTGTGTTTGTGTGTGTGTATATAAAGAGACTGATTGATTTT